GCGAGCACGCTGCAAGACCCCTCTCATCGACTGCACGTCTGCGTGACCCTGGGCAAGCGTGCCCCTCTGTGCGCGACTTTCGGGGGGGGCCGCGGGGAGGCCACGCCGGAGCGCGCACGCCGCTGCTGTCGCATCGCGGTCAGCCGTGTGGGGCCCCCACTTTTACGTCGGGCATGTCCTCCCACAGGCGGACCTTCGAGGAACGGTTCAAGATAGTCAAGAAATCCCCCCAAAAGAGTCAAGCAAAACAATCGAACAATCGTCCCCCGACTATTTTTGGACTATCTCAGAAAGTCCCTCCTGCAGAAGGGCAGGCCCCAGCATGCTCACTCCGGCGACAGGTCACTCCTGCATAGGTAGCCGATCTTGTCCAGGACCCGTAGTCTTTCCGCTCAGGGGTGGGGGCCCAACGAATATACACCACCACCACCACGTCGATTCCTCCTCTCTCCTCTTTCCAGCGAGAGGGAGGGGGGGAGGGAGGTGGTGGTGGTTTATATTTTGGTGCCCCCTAAGGGGCCCTGGTGGGGTGCGCCCTGGCCAGAATCCCAATGGGAATCCAGCCGCGGTGACCAGGAGCCTCCTGGAGGCCACCGCACGTGCCCCAAAACGCCCAACGGCCCTGGCAGAAGACAAACAAGATAGCATGAACACAAAGGGGAGGGGAAAGGGGAAGAGGGGAGGGGAAAGGGAAGAGGGGAAAGGGGATGCTTTTAACATCAACAGGGGAGGAGGGGAGGGGAAAGACGAGAGGGGAGGGGAACGGGGAAAGGTGAACCTGGAAAGGTGGAGAGGGTGGGAAGAGGAGAGGGGGAAAAGGAAAGGGGAAAGGTTAGAAGAAGAGAAAACGCCATCAACATAAACTGTTGGCGCTCCGCGCGGATTCCTTGGATCCGCGCTGGACCCCCCCCCTGGCGCGCGGAGCGCGCCAAGGGCGGCGCTGGAGGCGCTGCCAGGCCCAGCGCGGATCCAAGAAACCCGCGCGGAGCGCCAAAAGTTTAGGTTTATGACGTTCTCGACCTGGACCCTCAAACCATCTACCAGCTGCCTCCTGGCGACCTCCCCACCGGGCAGGCGCAAAAGAGTGGCCCCTCGTGACACCTGACGCGCGGCTTGCCGACAGCTGCGCAAGCGGTGCGACGGTGGCGGCCCGCGTGCTGGGGCTGGGCCACCGCAGACCCCCTCTGGAGAGCCGCGCACGCCAGAGCGCCACTCTGGCGACAGGCCAGGCTGGCTTCGGGGTCGGAGAGTCCAAACTCGTAGTAAGGACGCACGGATGTCCCTGCGTACTTGCCTGCGGCAAGTCCTAGGGCGTCCTCGTCCTAGGGTACCCCTGCGTCCTTGCCTCTGCGGCCCGTCCCTCGCGGTCTTCACTGGCAAGCCCTTCAGGGCGTTGGCGACCCGCCGCCCAAAAAGTGCCAACTTCGGCGTCCAAGGCTCTGATGTCCTCACCGCCCGTCCTTACTATAGATTTCGACTGTAACTCGGGTCCCCGGCAGCGGTTCGGGACAATCCGGCCACCCCTGGAACGCTCTCGGCGAGGCGCAGCTGCTGACACGCATCCCGAGACAGGAAGCCCTCCACGAGCCGAAGACCACGCACGAAGACGTTCCCGAACATCCGCCAGTGTGCTGTTTCAATCCGCGGCCCCCGAGGACCCGAACCCTTCCCCAGGGTCAGATTTCAGCCGCGGATCCGTACTAGATGGCCTCGGGGCCCAGTAACTAGACCTCGAGGCTAACATCGAAGAAAGAAACGTGATTGGAATGATGACATTGTCGGAGATCTGCGTTTGTCGCGGAGACGTAAGACTCGGGTCGGGGAGAATCGGGTTGGCCGGAGGCGTCGAGAAAATGACGAGACCCAATGTGAATTTCGACGCCAACTCCAGCTGCGAACATCCCAAGAAACCTGAACCGTCAAAACTTAGGGCGGGCCCGTCAAAAAGCGTCGGTCAACCCAAGCTCTGGCGCACTTGAGTTTTTGGACCTGGCGCACTTGAGTTTTTGGACGAATGAATGAAAATAATCAAAATATGCTAAGAAACCAAGCAATTCTTCTCACACTATTTTTTTGACTGCTCTTGAACATTCCTCCTGTAGAAAGACAGGCCCGACTTAAGCTATCCGTCTTACCGACAGTACCATTATGGTACTCTCCAGGGGGGGGGGGCATCAAGGGAGGACGCCAACTGCGCTGCGCTGCACATGTTCACCAAAGCTGGAGGAATCCAGGATCGATGCATCATTACGCGCTCCCGGCCTGGCCAGAGAAGCACGTCCACTGGCCATGCAAGACGACTCCAGGACGGGGATCAAATCGGGTGAGGATACATCGAGAATCTCTGAGATCAGGCGGCTCTGGAGGATGTCTCGGGCGCCGCGGCCTTCTCAAACTGGCCATCGCTCGGACGTCCATTCCCTGTGCTTTTGTTGGTTTCGTGCGAGGTTTTTTCGCCAAATGATCAAGGATGCTCCTCGATGATCCTCGCCGACAGAAAAATGCACACGTCCGAGCGATGCCAAGTAAAGCGTCCCGGAACGCTCTGAGAGTGTTCTGGAACGCTCTGGCACGGATCTACCCTCGTCCTGGCCCCGTCCGAGAAGCACGCGCTCCCAGCCTGGCCAGGGAAGCAGGTACACTGAGATCGGGCATGTCCCCCTACAGGCAGAGTTTGGAGGAAAACTAAACAATACCCCCAACATATCAACAAAAACAATAATCAAACAATATTCAGAAATCGCCCCTAGACTATGTTTTGGCAATTTCGGAATTTTCCTCCTGTAGAGGGACATGCCTGACTTAAATATGTACTCCGACTATGGGCCCAGGCAAGGCCCGACCATGGTCGGTGCTGACGCACAGCTCAGATGGCGCCCTCCTGCCAGCCGCCTGCTGGGCGGCGCCCGCCTCCTGGCGGAGAGTGGCAGAACGTGCCGTTGGACGTGGTCCTCCAGTCGGACTTGATTGGAGAGGACACGCGAGAGGACACAAGACCCTTCCGAGGGCCACGTTGCCAGAGAAATGCAGGAGGCATGGGTCGCAAGACGCAGGACACGAGGGTACCCTTGATCTGGCAGGGTCGACCTACGAATCCGGGCCGCCTGTAGTGGTCGTGGCTCTGCTCTGGTGCTGCCCTCTGGGTGCCACGGCTTCCCCGAGCACACCTCCTCCGACAGGACCTCGTGCACCACCCCGAGCGAGGTCTCAAGGGGATTTTTCGCCAAATGATCAAGGATGCTCCTCGATGGTCCTCGCCGAAGGACAAATGCACACGTCCGAGCGATGCCAAGTCAATGCCCACGGCCTTTGCTCGATCCAGGGCCGGCTCGGGCCTCAGCAGAAGCGGCCCCGGCCGGAGCAACACGGTCGAGAGGGGCGGGGACCACCCTCCTCCTCCTCCTCCTCCTCCTCCTCCTCCTCCTCCTCCTCCTCCTTCCCCCCTTCCTTGACGAGAAGAAGGGAGTCTGACGAACGATGCTACAGCTTACGCGGTGGCTTTTACGCAGGCCACCAGCGCGGTACCGACAGCCCCCCTTGCTGGTTATAACGGCTGGCCTCGGCAGGCCCCCCGAGGAGCCCAGGGCGGCCTCGACAGACTGGCATTACGATCAGCTGCGCGTGAGATGTGCCCATGGCAAGAGTGACCTTTGGTGCGCGGCTGCAGGGAATCGCTGCGGGGGCCAGATCCAGGCAAGCCGAGCGCCAGCGGCCAGCCGGTGTTGGCCAGACCTCCCTTGGACCCGCACCAGGGGTCACTCCGGCAAAGGGTCGCTCTTACGCGTCCGGTGCGCCAGGTTGTTGGGACCGCCGCAGTGGACACGAAACCACTCTGGCCAATCAAACGACAGCGATCGGGCCGAATAGCCCGGGTGAGAACAACACACGTATCTGGCGCCGATGGTCCATGCCTTCGGCCTGGCTCCCGGGCGCATGCGTGTCATGGCCGCCCCTGGGCTCTTCGCCCCCGTCGCCATGGGGAAACCAGCAGGTGCCGATAGCAGAGACCGATCCCGCACCTCTCCCGGGGTGCGCCCATTACCAGCAGGAGTTCGGGGCAAATCCAGCCGCTTGCCGTCGCTCGGACGTCCATTCCCTGTGCGTTGTTCGGTTTTGGTGCGTGTTGCTCTTGCCCGATGATCCGGGATGCCCTTCGATGGTCCTCGCCGAGAAAAAATGCACACGTCCGAGCGATGCCAAGGCCGTGGCGACGCGGGCCTCCCAGGAGGCCCAGAGTGGAGCAGCAGCGGGCGGAGGGCAGCGGCAGGACCCCTCGCTGCCGCCGGCCCCCCTCCGCGAGGCCCGCCGAGCTGGGCTGCTCGCCCCTTCTCGTCGCCTTCGAGCCAGGGTAACCTCCCCTTTTCGGATGTCCTCCTACAGGGGGATTTTGGACTGCTTCAAAATTATCCCCCCCAAGTGTATATATATATATATATATATAGGAAAACCGTCCCTAGACTGGGGAAGCCAGAAGGAACCGATCCCGCTGCTCCCCCGACCTCTCCTGGGGTGCGTTCTGACCCAGATTTCGAGGCGAATCCAGCGGCGGCGACAAGGGTCTCCCAGGCCGCCGAACTACGGAAAAACAGGCGAAGGGTAGAGGTATGGGTACCTCTACCCAATCAAGTGTTTTTTGACTAGTTTGAATATTCTTCCCTCGATGTTGAAGGTTTGACTATGTTTGACTGTTGAGGTATAGGGCCTCTACCCTCGGGCAGACAATTTTTTTGACTCCGGCAGAAGGACGTGCCCGACTGAAGCTTGAGGCCCCCCCCCCGCCCTGCGTGCATTCAGGAGGGAAAAACACACACAGACACAATGAATCGTCGACCCCCCAGAAAATATGGGAAAATATCGGGAGTGGGGGAGAAGACAAAAGGCCAGAACATATTGGAAAATATGTGAAATCTTTTTATTTGTGTGCATTTGTTTGTGTGTCCCAGGGCCCCTTCAGTGCAGCCTGCAGCGGGGCCCGTGCGGGGCGGGGCGCGGCCGGCCGCCTCGCCGCGGCCGAAGCTGATGCGCGGGCCACGGCCTGCGGCCCCCCTCCCCCGCGCGGCTGCCTCCCGCCCGCCCTAGCAGGAGCGGGGGGGAGGAGCGGCGGCGTACCGGCAGGGGGAGAGGGAGGGGAGGAGGAGGGGGAGAGGAGGAGGAGGAGGAGGAGGGGGAGGAGGAGGAGGAGGAGGGGGAGGAGGAGGAGGACGAGGAGGAGGAGGAGGAGGAGAGGAGGAGGAGGAGGAGGAGGAGAGAAGGAGGGGGAGGAGGAGAGGAGGAGGAGGAGGAGGAGGAGGGAGGAGGAGGACGGGGAGGAGCGGAGGAGGAGGAGGAGGAGGAGGAGGAGGAGGAGGAGGAGGAGGAGGAGGACGGGGAGGAGGAGGAGGAGGAAGACGAGGAGGAGGATTCTCACGCTTCGGGTGCGTGCGCCTCGTAGCTTGCCTAAGAAACGGGAGAGGAAACGCCTGGATTCGCCTGCCTGCTCCTTCCCACGGATTGCACGAAAAGAGCAGCACCCATCCCCAGGCCTCTCCTGGGCGACAAGGGCTGCCCCTGAAGCCCTGAAAAGGCTCACCGGAACTGTGGCTGAGAACGTTTGGCTCCAGCTGTCTTCCCCGCACATTTCGTGCACGAGCGCGCCCTGGCAGTGTAGCTGAACATGTGCCGCCCCACCACCACTTGCCGTCATCGTCATCGCCGCCCTCAGTCGTCAGAGGGAGGAGGAGGAAGAGGAGGAAGAGGAGGAGAAGGAGGGGGAGGATGAGGAGGAGGAGGAGAGGGAGGAGGAGGAGGAGGAGGAGGAGGAGGAGGAGGAGGAGGAGGAGGAGGAGGAGGAGGAGGAGGAGGAGGAGGCGGCAGCTTGCTCGAACTGGTCCCCACACTGTAGCCGAGGACCGCTCTCCGCCCTGCTGCTGTAGCTGCTATCGGGCTCCAGCGGCGCCCTCCGCCTCTCGATGAGCACGGCAGAGGTCGCTGGCCTCCCATCGATGTTAGGGGGCAAACAAACCTACCCCGCTTTTGACCACCCTCGCTTCCAAGAGATACCAAGCGATGCCAAACTACGGCCTGTACTGGTCATGTCGCTTGACGAGGAGGCGCGTGGTATGACTTGGTTTTGCCTGGAAGCGAAAGCGGGGTAGGTCATTCACGCTCTGAGATGTAGCTGATCACGTCTGGCTGCGGCGTTGCCTCCGCTACCTCCCTGAGTAGCAATCGAGGCCGCTGCCAATCCCCAGTGTAGCTGCTGACATTGGGCTCTGACTTCACCTTCCTCCTACAGATGAGGTGCGACCGAGCCTGCTGCCAATTCCTGTTGCCGCTGCCTGCCTTCTCGCACTGCCAGCACGAGCTGCCACTGCCTGTCTGCTCGTGCGAGCTGACCCCAGCAGCGCTGTGGCTGATGTTGATTGCTTCTCTCGCGCCCTGATCCCAACGCTGTGGCTGATGACCTCCATCTTCGCCTTCCATCTCGCAGAGTAATCAAAGAGTTAGCTGCCACTGCTCGGGCTTCTCACACGCACGAACTGGCCCCAGCCCTGTAGCTTCGTCGGAGCGAGCCTCGCCATAGCGAGCCGCCTCGCCCTCCTCCTCGTTCCCGCCGTGACGTTTGCCCGAGCCCTCGCCGCAGCCGCGCAGCCTCGCCGCAGTGCGCCGCCACGCCGACGTCCACGTAGAACGCCCTGCCGCAGCAGGCCCACGGAGGTCCAAGGCGGCCTCCGTCGAGGAACGCGAGGTATGTATGCCACAGGCACCGAACCTGGCCTGGACCGTCCTGGGCCCGCGATCGGTGCACGCGCCCTCCCGGCTCGGCCAGGGCGGCCCATCCGACCGAACTTCCTGGGCCCAGGGTGGGCCTGGCCAGGTTCGGTGCGCGCGCTGCACGTGCACGCTTCGCGAGGAGGAGGAGAGGGAGGAGCAGGAGGAGGAGGAGGAGGAGGAGGAAGAGGAGGAGGAGGAGGAGGAGAAGGAGGAGGAGGAGGAGGAGGACGAGGAGGAGGCCGCCGCGGCATCCGGCGCCTGGCGGGCGAGGCGCTCCCTGGCCTGCCGGTCTGCGTGCGCTGCCTCCCCTGCCCGCGGGCCCCGCAGGCCCGAGCCTGGCGGGCGCCTCCGACGTGCTGCGGCGCCTGCCCGGCGGTCGCCCGGCACCTCGCCGAGCCGCCAGGAGGTGGTCCGCCGAAGGATCCGCGCATCCGCCCGAGGCGATCAGAGGCTCACTGCCTCGGGGATGGACAGACCTCCCTTTAGTAAAACGTGGTTTAGTGAAAACGACTTCGGGCCCAAACCTGGCGGGCGCAAGCCTGGAAAATAACGGCCACGGCGCCCTCACGAAAACCGAAAACGGACAATTCACTAATCGACGTGTCACTGTTGGGGGTTCTGTCCACCCCCGAACTGCCGGGGCTGACTGCGGCGCCGGCCCTTGGCTGCCTGGTCGTCAGGCGCGTGCGTCGGTCGCTCGACGTGCGGCCTGCGGGCGTCGGCACGCCGTCGTCGGAGGCGGGCGGACGGTCGCCGACGGGCGGCGGACGGCCGTTGTCGGTCGTCGGGCGGTGGTCTGCGGCCGGGAGGCCGCAGGTTGACTGCTCCAGCTTGGCCGGAGGCCTCCCCGGACATCCGGCGCATGGACTGTTGCCCAAGCGCGGCACGCTGTATTGGAAACGAGGGCGCTTGCGCGCCATGTTGCGCAGGCAACCGACGCACGAGTGTCCGCGTCATCGGCCCCATTTTCTGCGTCGCTCACACGGGGTCCCAGTGGATGGGGTCGGAAGATCGCGCCGCATGGCAAATGCATCGCCGATGCGTCGGCGCTGTCGGCGATGCATCGGCGCTGTCGGTGTGGAGGAAGCCGCGCTCCACGTCGAGCCGCATCCCCGATGCAACGGTCTATTTCGGCGCGATCCACGGACCCCCTCTACACCGGCAGGCATGAGCTGGCTCGGATCGAGAGATCGAATCGGATCGGAAACTGGTCGGATCGTCAGCGAACCGTCCCGAATCGGCCCGAGATCGGATCGCCGCGCCAGGCTCCGGCTGGCACCGGCCGGTGCTGGCGAGACGGGCCGAACCGCACCGCATCGGAGCCGCGGCCCCAGCCGGCGGACCGACTCGCATCGCCTACAGAATCGCAGGCGGCCCCTGGTGGGAGGCCCCGGTGCCCGCAGGCGCGCCGGAGGAGGTGGTGCTGGCGGCCGCTCTGCCCCGTGCAGGCCGAGCGCCGCAGGCGGCCCGCGGTGCCCGCGGCCCCTTCTCTGACCCTGCCGCCCGTGGTTGCAGGAGCTTGCAGGATGGGAGGTGGTCCTGGTGGGGGGGTGGCGACTTCGACGATGGCGGCTACCTCGACCGCGGCGGCGGCGGCGGCGGCGGCGGCGGCGACGACGGCGACCGCGATCGACGACGGCGGCGCACGGCGGTCGCGCGCGGCGGCCGCGGCGGCGGCGGCGACGACTGCGACGACGACGGCGGCGGCCGCGAGGGCGACTAGGGCAAGGACATCGGCGGCGGCGATGAGGAAGGACGGCGGCGGCCGCTGCTGCCCGTGCTGCGACGACGGCGGCGGCGATGTCGACGACGACTGCGGCTGAGACCTCAGCGGACGGCGGCGACGATCGGCGGCGGCGGCGACGACGACCACGACTGCGACGGCAGCGTGCTGCGGGCGAAGGCGGCGCCGACGACGACTATGCGGCGAGGACGTCGGCGGCCGCGGCGAGCATCGGCGATTCAAAGGCGGGCCCTGAGGGATGAGGCCCCACGGACGAGCGGCCTCGAACAGGAAGGTTCAGCTTTGGGACCCCTTTCCCCCAGACATGCGATGTCCACATCTGGCCATCGCTCGGACGTCCACATCTGGCCATCGCTCGGACCCCGTGGCGGCGGCTGCCCCCCTGGCCGCCTTCGACGCTTCGGTTCGGGATGCTTTCGCGGACCTCGCCGCCTTCCAGCCGACCGCGGACGAGTGGCAACAGGCCACGCTTAGCCTCCGGCGCGCAGGCCTGGGCCTGCGGAGCACGCGGCGGCACTCGGCGGCCGCGTACTTCGCCTCCCGTGCTGCCACAAAGGACCTCTGCGCCCAGGTCGACAGCGGCTACAGCTGGGATGCCGAGGCCGCCGGCTCAGGCCTTCAGCGCGCGGTCGCCTCGCTCGAGGGCGCACTGCCGGCGCAGACCGCTCGCCGATTGTTGGACGACGCCGCAGCCGCGCGGAAGCCGCAGAAGGCGCTCTCCGACGCGCTGGACGAGGCGAGCCTGCGCGACCGACTGGCGCGCGCCAGCCCTGCAGTCCGGGCCGCCGTGCTTTCGGAGACCCTGCCCGGCTCCTCCGGCTTCTTGACGGCCATGCCCAGCAAGGCCATGAAGCTTAGCATGGAGCCCGCCGAATTCCGCACGGAGCTGCAATGCCGCCTGGCTGCGGAGATCTTCCAGGAGGAAGACTTCTGCCCGCTGTGCGATAGCGTCTTGGACGCGCACGGGTTCCACGCCTCGGTGTGCACCTGTGGCGGGGACAAGACCGCCGCCCACCACGCGGCCCGGGACCAGACCTACTTCTACGCTGCAGCCGCGGGCTGCCGGCCAGACCTGGAGCGCGGCAACCTCCTCCCACCCCGCCCGGACGAGGCCGCCGACCAGGGGTTGCGCCGGCCAGCGGACGTGTTCTTGCCTGCTTGGCGCGGCGGGTCCGCAGCAGCAGTGGACTTGGCGATCACGTCGCCCCAGCGGCAGGCCGCCCTGCAGCTGGCGAGCGAAGTCGCCGGGTCGGCCGCGCAGCTCTACGAGGACTACAAGCGGTCCTTCCTGAACACGGAGGCCCTCTGCGCCCAGCAAGGGATCGCCGTCGTGCCGATGGTCGCCGAGCGCTCCGGTGGTTGGGGCGCCTCAGGTTTCCAGGTGCTCAAGCAGCTCGCACGCAAAGCTGAGGCCAGAGATGGCAAGGCGGCGAGCCTGCACGTGCAGGAGTACTTGGAAGGCCTCTGCGTCGCCATCCGGCGGGCCAACGCCCGGGCGGTTCTGAAGCGCGCCCCGGGCGCCGCCGCGGCCGCGCCCGGCGCCGCCGATGCGGCCAGGGCCATACTTCAGCCGTAGCTGAGCAAGACATCGGTTCCCTTTGCCCTGCTTTCGTTTCCTCCTCCTCCTCTTCCTCCTCCTCCTAAGTTTTAATTGCATTTGCGGTGCATCCCCGGCGCCCTCCGGAGGAGGGGACCGGCTCGGGTGTCCAGCGCGAGGTGGCTCCACTGTCGCCACCGCCCGCTGCGCTTCCGGGGGGCCCCCCCGCCGCCCGCCCGCTGGCCTTGTGGGCCCCGCCTTCCTTGCCCTGCCTTGCCTCGTCTTGGGCTCTCGGCTCCTCTCCTCTTCCCCCTCCCTCTCCGTGCCTTCCCCTTCCCCTTGTGCCTCCTTGCCCTTGTGTGGTGTGCTCTCCCCTCCCCCTCTCTCTCTCTCCCCGTCTGGCTTCCCCTCCCTGTCTCCCCGTCCCTCCGTCCCTCCGTCTGTCGGCCCGGTCTGTCCCTTCCCGTCGCCCTCCCTCCCTCTCCCTCCCCTGCTCGCTCCTCGGCTCCTCGCTCCCCGGCCCGTTTCTGTTCCTTGCCTGGCCCGCTTTTCTTTGTCGGCCCGTCCCGTGGTCCGAATAAGAGTTGCCGCGGCCCGCACTGCCGCGCAGGCGAATAGCCGGCGCAGGTTGTTCCTCCTGAGTCGGTAATGGAGGCCAGGCTCGTCGATGCCTAGCGATAACTCTTGCGGGGGCCCTGTGTTTTTGTTCCGTCTCGTGCGTGGTTTTTTCGCCAAATGATCAAGGATGCTCCTCGATGGTCCTCAGGGAAAATGCACACGTCCGAGCGATGCCAAGACGTGTCTTTCAATAGGTGGTCCCCAAGAGTCCTGACCCCATCCCCCGGACCGGCATTCTTCATCCTGAGCCGTTTGTGGAAGGCCCCGGGTCCAGGCAAGGGCCCCGGGAGGCCGGGAACAACGGCAAACCTCCGCTGATGTGTTGATTCGTGTCACGACGCGAGCATGTCTGGCCCTGCTCTCGGGCCCCATCCCTCGTGGAGAGCAACGACAGGGGGGGACTGGCATAGGGGGGCACACCGACCTGGAACCGGCGATACACCGCCGACAGATCGGCGATGGGCCTCCGATAGCGCATCCGCAGGTTGCTGGGCAAGTTGGGGCCATCCAGCCCCTATCGGCGATCCATGGGGGATTGGGGGTCGATGCGTCCCCCCTATGCCCCACTCCCAGACCCCCGACGTCATGAATTTTTCATGACGTCGACCCCCAGCGGTCTGGACCCCTTTCCCCGGGGCCGGTTTTTCGTCCCGAGTCGTGTTTTGACGGTCCCGAGGCCCGGTAAGGGCCCCCAGAGGCCAAAAATATGGAAAAACCTCCCGTCGTGATTTTTTTCATAACTCGAGGGGGTCTGGGCTCCCGAGTCGCCGAGAAGGCGACGGCGGCGGCGGCTGCCGCCGGGCGCAGGCGAAGCATGGGCACGCCTGGCCGCTCCGTGGACTCGGAGGAGCGCGACGACTCCCGGGAGAGCGCCGCGTGCCGCCAGGGAGGGGGCTCCGCGGGGGAGCCGGCGCCGGCAGCCGCCTCCGCCGCAGGCAGACTTGCCGTCGCCGAGACGTCGATGCCCCGTGCGCTCTTCGGTCTCGTGCGTGTTTTTTTTCCTAGCTCGAGGATGCAGGATGCTCCTCGCTGGGACCAAGGAGAGGCGACACCAGCACCACCAGGGCGAGGAGGTGCGAGGAGGCAAGGGAGCTCTCCCGGGTGATGTGGCCCCCCCCCCTCGCTCGAAACCTCCCCGGCCTCCAGCTCGGGGAGGCCTCGCGGACCTCCTCGCTGGAGAGGTGGGCCCCCTGGCGGTGTTGGTGTCGCTCAACTCGTCCCTCCGACCTCGACGGTCCTCGCCAAGAACCGAGGCAGACACGTCCGAGCGGCGCCACGCAGAGGCCCGCGTGGCCCCGCCTTCGGACTCGCCTCTCTCGCCTCCTCGCCTCCCGTTCGTTCGACGATGCGGAGAGGTATCTCCCCCTCACCCCCTGGCCTCGTGGATGCCACGACAACGAACACCCTAACAGTCCTATCAGTGAATGTTACATGTGTTTAAGATCTAGGAATCATGTTCTAAACACGTTTTAAACATGTTTCAACCATGTTTCAGGTTCTAGACATCTGGCAATGGTTTGGCAACATGCTTCCTCTCCAGTGATCGTGCTCCACGACCACCCTGGCCGGGGAAGCGACCTCCTGGGACCTCAGCGGGCGGTGGCTGTGAAGTCTCGTGGCCCCGTGGCTAGATCCACACCCACCGCCTGCCGAGGGCCCCATCGCCCCCCTCCAGGCGGTGGCTGTGGCTAAATCTCCGCCTCGGACTTTCTCCCTCCTTCCTCCTCCCTCCTCCCTCCTGCTCTCTCCTCCCTCCTCCCTCCTGCTCTCTCCTCCCTCTTCCTCCTCCTCCTTCTCCTCCTCGTCCTCCTCCTCCTCCTCCTCCTCTCTCCCTCCCTCCCTCCCTCCCTCCCTCCTTCCTTCCTCCTCCCTCCTCCCTCCTCCCTCCTCCCTACTGCTCCTCTACTGATTACTGATCGTCTACTGCTCCTCCCTCCTGCTCTCTCTCTCTCTATATATATATGGGCGCCGTTCTGGATCGAGGGCCTCGGGAGCGGCTGCCAGGCCACCGCACGCCCCTTTCCAGCACAGCCCCCCGCACCTGCTGGCCGCGCCGCGCCAGCGGCAGGACGGCGACGCGCGGCCGCAGCCCGCCTCATCGAGCAGCACCACAGCGACAGCGACATGGACCACCAGAGAGGTCCTCGTGGTGGGCGTTCCCCTCACCCGCCATGGCAGCAGAAATCGGCGGCGAGCAGGTGGGGGGAAGTGAGGAGAGGCGGACCTTCTCAGAAGGCTCGGACGTCCACGAGCCTTCTGAGAAGTTTCCTGAGCCTTCCAGGAAGGCGCAGAACACTTCTCAGAAGGCCCAAGGGCTTCTGAGAAGTCCCGCCGCCTTCAGAGGAGGCCTTCTCCTTCCCACTTCCACAGCTCGCTCGCCGCTGAAGCTCTGCGAGTGCACGGCCTGTGCGCACGCGAACGATTGGTCTTCCACGTTCCGAGTGCGCCGGCGCCAGCGACTCCCAGCAGGTGCAATTTCCACATGATGAAGGACGCCGCCAAAGTGGTCGCCTGCGTAGTCCGCCCCAGCCGCCCGTCCTCCACATGCAGCCAGCAGAGCAAGATGAAGCTGAGCTCCTCCCTATGCTACCATGTTCTCCAGAAGCCGCACGGGCACACCGCAGGTGGAAGAAGCCTCCCACAGAGGCGCGTGCACTAGGAGAGTACCGCAAGGCCTTGAGTTCTACGCTCGGAAGCCTCGAACGCCAGATCAGATGCTCCCAGGACCTTAGCCTGGGTAGCACGCAGATCGAGGCCTCAAGGAGGAGTTCAGCGCGGTTCTCTCTAGCTCATGTACCCAGGCCCCTCTCCAGGTCAGGATGACCAAGGTTCAGCAGTTCTTGGCCAGGTGCAGGCGTAGGTTGGCTGATGCACTGGCTGCCTTCAACGAGGCGCAGACGCACCTCGAGATATGCGCCTACGAAATTGACAACTTACCAGACAAGCTCGGCCAAGCAGACGAGTTGTTCACACGCTTCAAGAACCTGAAACAATCACATGAACTGCACCGTCAAGCAGATCATCGTGCTGCCTCCCGCAAGGCAACACATTACGCCCAGGACGGCATGGACGATGAAGAGGACGACGAGATGGCACTGGACCAACTTCAATGACAACAAGTCCAGTAGAAGCGGCTCTGGTGTTGGCCCCTTCTCAGCGACACGCACCTTACCAGACACATGATGAAGTTGGGAAGGCAATCGTCGCGTCGACCCCTGGCACTGGTTGCGCACATTATTCAACATGCTAACCAGCAATTGCTCGAACAGCTCATGATTTTCAAGAGCTCCATGGACGACCTTACCCAGCCAGTCGAAGGCATCAAGACGGAGATTAAACATGATCCCGCGTACATCGAGGCTAAGCTCGCTGCGGACAACATCAGCAAGAGCAGGCCCAAGAAGGACCCCCCCGACCTGGAGGAGAGCAAATCAAAACCCAACGTGGCTTTCACAGCTGGAATGGCTCGCTCTACGGGAGAAGCTGACAAGAAGTTGCCCAAAAGCCAGCACGGTGAAACCACCGTCGGCAAGGGCGATAGCGACGGACGACCCGCCCGACGAGGAGAGCCTCCTGAGCCCTCAAGGGCCGCTTCCCAAGTAGCAGCGGCAACGGGTTGAGCCCCAGCCGCATCAGATGCAAGCCAGCAACTTGTTCGCTAACCAACTCGTCCCAGCATGAAGGGCCTCAGCAGTGCCCTGCTACACAGAATTCAGTTCAATCGAGGCCCCCCCACGAGGATACCGAAGGTCTCACTCCAACTCCCTCCACTACACATGTTCTCATGCACAGACGCACGCGTGGCATTCCAATAGCTCCGCTTCCTCATACTGACGGCCACGAAAGATCTAGTTGAGCGTCCGTAGCCTACCCAGCTATCCCGGGTCCTCCTGCCTTGCTCTCCATTCTGGCGTTCAGCTACCATCGAGGAGCTAGGCCGACTGCGCGAATCTGATCCTACACATGAGTATGACAGGTATGAGACTTACACGGACGCCACTGCAGGCGGCTACAAATGTGAATGAGGGGGTTACGGATTTTCTGCATGGCCCCTTTGTGTTGTCTCGCGCTCAGTTACGCTAGCCAGCGCTCTTGTGGGATTACTTGCGGGCCGAGTGGATGAATGTGAGTATGCTGACTCCCACGCCCCACTTCGTGCTGAACTCGAAGCCGCCTTATGGGCGGTGGCATGGTTCGTGCAGCCCAGTGTTTTCCCCGATACCCAACTCTGACTCATCAATGGCAACATGGATGCCATACGTGTGGCGCAAGGGGAGCACAATACTGGGGCTCCCTACACTACTAAACATGTGTTAGAGGGGCTCACGCACATCATGCGAGCGCGGGTTACCAGCATTCAGTTCATGCGCGTGGTGGGAGATACTGCACTTCCATGGAAGGAATGTGTTGACACGCTTGCACGCTTATGCCCACTGCGGATACTATCTCCATTGTTTGAGACCAGCTGGAGAACAGATATCATGCAATAAACCCATTGGTCTGCCCTTCCCTGGCGTTGGCTAGAGTCTCTGCCATAATTGCGCACAGCGCGCAGCATACTCGCCAGCAGCAGGATATGCTCTACCGCCGCCCCAGGAGCCACAGGTGGACATGTTGGACATCACCCTGGCGCTAAGCATTGCAAAGCACCTCGCCGCATTCATGCTCTAGGATGGTTCGCCGTGGCTAACATTCACACCATGGACCCGCGCTGCTACGGAGGACAACACGCAGCAATGCGAGCCATCGGCTACGACGCCACGGGAATAATGATGCAGCCCTCATGACAATTCGCTCACAAGCCTTACTTTATGGGGGGGGGGCAGTAGAGACAAGACTCAAGCGCAAGGGAATCTCTACAATAGATCCATCTTTCATACTGGATGGTGTAGCCGATGCAGAAGGTAGGGGCCGTTGCTCCCTTTGGGTTAACACATCCTGGGACTATCAATTGGGTCTATCTCACCCACAAGCTGCTTTGCGCAGCACGCAGCGCCAGCTGCGCTCATCGTTGCAATTCGAGCACCAGCCCTGTCCCTGTGCATATGTGCCGCTCATTTTCCGCACTCGCGACGACCCCATGAGATCATCAAAGAATGATGGCAGGCTCTTGGGGACTGCATGGTGGCACGCGAGGGTGCCTCAGAGTACCTGGTTACGCTCGCAGACGCCAATGCTGCCATGGGCTCCCACACTGACCACACGACAGGACCGGCACATGCTGAGCAAGACATCTTGCCGGGCTCTTGCTTTAGGTGTTTCCCAGACCGCACAAGACAAAGGGCCAAATCCACTTTCTACGAGGACCCCACGGGCTCTGCAGGTACACGGGTTGCCCCAGGTAAGACTACCACCTACAAAAACGGGAGTACGATTTCCCAAGGAGTAGGTGCGCCCGGCCTAGGAGTGGATCACGACATCGACCTGACTGTCTCTCACGTCGACCACAGGGGGATGGCTTTGCAAAGGTCTTTCCCGCCCTCAATATATGTGCCGCATTCTACCCGGCCATACAACATTGAGCAATATCCGACTTTGTACACAGATCCAATTGCTGCCTGGGCCCTCGGCAACATTTTGAACCAGTACCGCAGCCAGAGTGTAGTGAGTTTGCCACAGATAACTCTCAGAGGTGGAATACTTACATCAGGCAAGCCATGCAGCAAACATTCCCAGTCAAGCGCATGGCGACGGGCAGGACGCCCGGATAGAACTGGATAAGTGTACCATCACTCTCCCTGCAGGACGAGAGAGCTCGTTACATGTGACGCGTAAAGTAGGAGACGCCGCTTAGGGTGCCGACCTTAAATTGGTATTACACGCTTGGAGATGGGTTACAGCGGCCCCATCAGGGCCCACACGCGCCTCCTACGACTACCAGCATCAATCGACCGCCAGATACCCACCTATGCAGTTACTCGTGAGGGCTCTGGAAGTTCTGGAGCGCTCCGTGGCCTTGCTCACTCTAGCCACGC